GCTTCGTCGTTTTTTTATTTTTATTTTCTCCCTCGCGACGATTTGGACTTTATTAGCTCTCTTTGGCACCGATGTTTCATACTCTGCGCTTCACCAGCAGCAGCGAGTGCGAATAAATACTGTTAAAACGTTTCATCGAGTTCAAGAGAGATGAATCGTAACAGAAATTTTCGGTAGAAAGAAATAGTATCGCCTTAGTCTGGACATTTCGAAAATTTCATCAGACCGAACTCGAGAGCTTGTAGTATCTTTCCATCAGAAATTAGAAAGTACCTTGGTCATCGAGCTCCTCTTTCATGGATGAATGACGCAACTGCGAAGATAGATGACTCGAAGAAAAAAAAATAACCAAAATCGAATCTTGATCTTACAAGCTTTTAAACTATACTCGACGCACACGTGCGAAAATCAGTTATCTGTCTTATCGGCGGTCGTGCTTGCAAGTTGCGGTAGCGCTATTGGGAAAAAGAGAAAGAGAGCGAGAGAGAGAGGCAAGACTATACACTTGCGATTCAGGCGTAGTAGTACAAAAAGTGAACGCGCGAGGCGCCTCTCTACGTTCTCGTGCCGCTCATATAGTGGACACATCGACACGCATTGTATTACGCAGTAGAGCTTGCGTTTTTTCCGTCTTTTTTTGCGGGACTTTTTAAAAATTGGCGCTAAACGAATTATCGTGGAACAACAGAACAAAGGCAGAAATCATCTAAATAGCCTGGGGTGCTCGTCGATGCTTCGCTGCACACAACTCGTCTGCATATGCGTATTCGAGCGAATTGTTCCGACACATTCAGAGCGCATCGATGACTGCCTGTACTCCGGGCGATCGTATAATTGATGAAATCGCGCGATAGAGCCGTGCAAATATATATGCAGCACTTCGTTATTGATCTCGTCCATATTACATTTCACTTTGGACGTTTACCGTCGCGTACATACGTATGTGCGTGTATGTGAGTTCGTGTCTGTGTACACGTATAAAGGCTAGAAAACGTTTAATTCACTCGTCACGTACATTCTAATCGTGCTTATATTGTAACTAACTGACCATTGCTCGACGCTGACAGTCGAGGCAACAAAGGAATTTAAATCTAAATATGGATATCGTATGATTGAACGCCGTGCCTGTACAAAGGTTATATTGGTCGCGTTGCTGCTGCGGAGAGCTGCTGGATGATGATACGCAGGCTGAGCAGCATAGATTTTCAATGTACAAAAGTAAAGCCGAGAGCGAGAGAGTGAGAGAGACACACACACAGCCTACTTTTCACCATTCCCAAGGTAGCTTTCGTGCCCTCAACCTTGTGTTCGGCCGATCAATAAACAACACTCACACACGTACTCGTATCAGAAGCCCGAGAGAAAGAGAAAGAGGCCTAATGTATCAACTGCTATACGTAATGCGCCTTGTGTGTACGGCAAAATTTGATACTCGAAGTACAAAGTAAAGAGAGTAAAATTGCGAGTGGCAGCGGTATACTTTGAGGCAAATTATTTCATCGTTGCGTAATTTAACTGCCGGAGTAACGAGTAATTATGGTTTGCGCTCGTCGAGCAGCGAGGCGAAGTAATGATTTTTTCTTTTTCACCAGCCTGGTGAATAATTTTTCATCGGTTGACCTATATTCAATTTTATTTCATTTCTTTTTCAGCACGGTGCTCTAAATAATAAATAACTTAATGAAAGTCTAGTACCGACTAAACCACAAAGCTTGTATATACATTACAGAGGCGCGCGGCAAGAGAGAAGAGAAGTTGGCATATACGGGCGAGGAGCGACGCGAGCGAGCAAAAAAATCCGCCTGGAATTAAATTGCTCGCGCGAGTTCCTGCAGGATGCATTCTTTGAAAGAGCAACCATCCCTCGATCTAATGTCGCTGCTGTCACACAACCACCACAATGCTACACGTTTGTCAGGCTCATCACGTTCGCGGATAACAAGGTTATTTCGAGACAAAATTACTTAAAACGACCTGGAATTGGATTATACGCTCCGCGTGTGGTCCACATAGAGCCGAGGAAAACAGCACTCGCTAATTCGACCGAATTCCCAGTCGCGGGGAAAATTATGATACTCGAATCAGGGTTCTTTTGTCGTGCGCAGTCGGAGAGCTTTTTTCATTCATATTTTGAAAAATGAAGCGAGTCCACTTTGAGAGGACGATAATTCGAATAGATTGCATTATCTGCGAAACCGGGACATTATCATACGCGAGGAGGAGCGGCTATTTTTCTTGTGTATGCCCTGCGCGAGCGCCCCCCGAATCGATCATATGTTCGTCTGGCTCCGTGTGTACACGTAATATAGGTGAGAGTATGTGTACCTATATATATAGAGCGAGATGCGTGTTACGTACGTGTGTGTGTGTGTGTGTGTGTGTTCATGTACATGTGTCAAGCACATATCACACAAGCTTACGTACGACAGAGACGTAGCGCAAAATTTCCCGACTGCACACACAGTGCTAGGCAGCGCTCATCCCTGCTTCCGTTCGGTTGTTATAGCAGCAGCGGCGGTACATCTCGAGAGTTAAGCGCGCGCGCACGCGAACCCCTGCACATGTATGCGTGTATGTGTGTGTGTGTGTGTGTGTGTGTGCATGCATATATACAGACACTATGCGTGTCGCCCTACATATAAAATACACACCAACGCTCGGTAGATATATCCGAGCGACTCGGTGCTGTCGACCGCGTAATTGTCGCCGTCGACGTCATCATCCTGCGAGGCATTAAAATATTTCGCGCAAAATTAACGGAGTATATGACTTTCCAGGGCGCGCGTTAAGAGCTGTGTGTGTGTGTGTGTGTGTGTGTGTGTGTGTGTGTGTGTGTGTGCGCGCAAGAAGTTTAAGAGTTCAGACGCACGGAGCTTTTTGTTTAGAGGTTAGGAGGTTATATTCTGAATACTTTATAAGACGAAATGCAAGGTGTGCTCGTAAATGCGCTCGACTTTTTCTTTCCCTTTTTCTTTCTTCTTGCTTTTTTTCTTCATTTTTTATCGTGCATTTCCACGGGGAAAAATTTGCGATAAAAATATTTTTACCCCGGGGCATTGTCCTGAATGTGTAAAAAAAAAGAGTTGTAAGTTTCTTGATTGTAAGTGACCCTGGCCTTCGATTTTATTCAACTTTATCGCATTATAATGTGTGTGGCTTGGAAGGCCAAATAAGTGCACACACACAGTGTGTATCAAGTTCACGGAAGTGATACTTTGTCTCGACGATTAAACCTTACATTAAATGAGATATGCATCGATCAATGTGAAAAATTAATTTTATTGTCGCAAGTCAATTACGCTGTCTTAGCTTCATTTTTGCATATTTGATTTTTTTTACAAGCCCATCCGAGTAGGTCTATACATGTGCACGCTGCAGAGCGGTCTTGCGTTGCAAGTCATTGCGAGCCGGAGGCAATCATTTAATCAATCGTCTAATCAATCAATCAGTCAATCAATGCCTACATCCTATCACTTTTATCCGCGAAAATCCGTATACACATTGTGCCTGGACTTTTGGCTGGGAAGCGAAGGTTGTGCAGCTCGCAGAAATAACCGTTTGGCTTGACGTATTGATTTGTGGCACTTTCTTTTCATTTCAACAAAACGATACTTCGAGATCACTTCACAGAGTGCAATCGATACAGCCAGTGGACGGATTGTGTTGGCTTGAGAAATGAAAATAATAATTGTTTCCTTGTCTTCTTGGTATCGAAATTTTCGATCAAATCTCTGGCAGGGCACGAAATTATTTGATTCTTCATGCTCTCACTGCGGCGTCAATACCGTTGTCGTCGAGTAATTGAACAAAAGATCGTGCAGACCTGCAAATAAGAGCACTGCGCGCGAACCGCTAGAATCGCCGCGCCCGACGTAGAAGGAGAAAGAGAGAGAGAGAGAGAGAGAGAATGAGAGAAAGAAAGAGAGCTTCCTCTTTAACGATGAGAATTCCTGGGACGCTTGTCACTTTGAACTCGATTTGCTCCTATATACTTTTTTTTCCTACTAATGTATGAACGACAGATAAGCATCGAAGACTCGTGTTTTTTTATCAAGTATTAGCACAAGTACTTTAGCTCGGTATAAGGAAATGATTTGGAGAAGATAAAGTTCTAGTTATAAAACTTCGTAACTATGCTTTAAAATAATCGAATTTATTTCTTTACAAACGTCACTGGGAAAGCAACAAGTAATTTTTGTAAAACTGACAAGTTTAAAATAATAACTTGTAACTTCATAATTGAAGAAGAAAAGCACGACGGCTTGTAATGTAAAAAGAATAAATAATCATCCGCGTGCTTTGATGTTTATAAAAAATTTTCCTTTAATGCGATGCATGATTTATTTTTATCGTTGTAATAGAAAATTAATTTTTTTACGTATTACGTAAGCAATATAATAATATGATAAAAATTTATAGATATAATTAAGTCTAAAATTATAATAGCTTTTATATTTTTGAACATTATTCCATAATTATGTATTTCACAACTTTTAGCGACACAGAAACATCAAAAATAAGATGCTGGTTAATGAAGTTTTAAAATTAAAGAGCTTGTTATCATAATTATGTAGAAAATTAAAACAAACTGTTAGTGACTAACTAAAATGGCATTTACGAGATACTATATTTTGATTTTAAAAATATTTACCACAAAATATTTGTTACTCAAATGCCGTGATTTATTCAAAATTGTATAAAGTGTATGGTGATACATAAAATTATTAAAAGCAAATTTCAAATTAAACTACCTTTCAAGATGAGTTAAAAGTTACTATCTTGATGGATATGGATGAAAAAGTATAGATAAATAAAAATTGCTGAATTAAATTTTGTAATAAAAGGTTTGAACATCGAAGATAAATGTGTTATAACCAGAGAAATTTAAAAAAGATGATGGTGTCGATCACAATGATATTGTTGATGGTTTGATTTCTGAATTTAACTAAACTTTCATACTAATGAAATGATGAAAAATTCAAAATTTCATAAAATCATACCAATAAGCGGGGCCGGTGGCTCATTCTGTTTAACTTCCTCTTTGAGGGAGCTTTCCAAATCATCTATAATTCAAACATTATTCGTTATATAATTTTAATATTATATAATTTAAATATTGACAAATACGTGGAAAAACGATCATAAAAGTGACGTTTTAGTTGCATGAGATATGGATTTGCTTGGCGTAGGTGTGAAGTGCTGCATTAGGTGATAAGAAAGGGAAAAGGGGGATGAGAAAATAAACGCGTGACCCCGCAGTTACGAACACGCCATTAACATACTCTCTCTCTATCGTGTCAGTTTATCTTCAGTGGAATTGTATTCGTTACCTCTTCCTCTTTTATAATACGCTCTTTGAACTTATTACCTATAACCAAGGACGGGCCACGAGGCTCGACCTTGAAGGGGTCGATACACACCACTGACGATTACGGTGCAAGCTCGCGAGTTTATAACGTTAGACGCATGCATTTTTTATAAACTATCTATCTATCACCCTTGGAAAATAAGAATCATATTCGACCCTTCCGCGTACCCTATTCCCTATTACTTTAGTTTCTTATTTGTTTGCGCTAGTTCTCAAAGTCAACAATTTAATCATGAAGTCCAAGAAAATTCTTCTCAAACTTCATTGATTTCAAGTTGCTCGATAGCTTGAAAATTTTATATTCCATCTTTTGCCGGGGGTATATTTTTCATTATTGGCGAAGAATCGATTTATCGAAAAATTGAAACGAACGAAATCAACTTTACAATGTTTTTTTCATCAAGTTTGTTTCGTAAATCATTATTTCTGCGCGTGAAATTGGAGCTAAACTTAAACAATCGAATGAAAACAGTGTAATTTTAATCTATTGCTCGATCTAACGTTTGATTAAAAAGCAGAGAGAAAATTTTAAATTATCCAGAGTTGATTCATTTCAAAGTTTATTTTTGATATAAATTGAAACTGAACTTCTCTCCGAAAAGAGAAAAAAAGTCAATAGCTCCAGCGCAAAAGTTGTATTTTTAATTCTTTAATTTAGCAAAAGTTTAATTAGGTTGAATTCCCAATCGTCGCAGTCATAGCGCGCCCACGTGGATCTCTCTCACTGCGAGCGTGTGTAACGATTCCGCATTCGTCTTGTGTTCTGTGCAGCAGTGGCATTAAGCTATATCAAGGCAAATAACATACGAGCTTTGCGAGCCGTGGTGTGCGCGTTTTATCTCTCTGCAGCATACCTAGCTAGGTAGGATGAGGAGGATACGCGGGAGCCAACCGCACACACACGTTCCGCTGCACTTTAATCCCGCGAGGATGCAAACGGTATCGCATCCCGTATAATAAATCGGAGAGCGCTCAAGGTATTAGTTCATTAAAATACACGTACACACGAGCTGTGCACGTGTTTGAGCACCCGCTCGTGTACAAAGAAAAGGATATACACGCGTAAGCGTCTCGGCCTTTTCAGAAGCGAGACGATGAATAGCTGCTTTTCATTGATTGCGGAATAGAAGAACGATCGGAAAGGATTATTGCTCGCTCGCTTTTTACAGAAATAATCGCCTCGATGCAAATGTTCGACCGTTTGATCATTGTAAGTTGGTAATTTCAAAGAAAGAAAATTATACTCCGTGCAGGTTACACGTCATTTAAAAATTGCGAGTTTAATCGCGATTCAATATATACGATTAATGCGCAAAGAGCTTTATAACAAAGCTATGCGCGATGAGCAATTAGTGTATGAGCTGTTGGAAACGCGCACGCCTGCCAATGCACAACGTTATTAGCGCCGTACTGTTTGAAGCCATTGAAACCAAATTCGATCATACATATAGGTACGCAACGCGAATGGCAGTTTATTGCGCGCTGAATGCGCGCAGAATTACTCGGTTGTGGTGCAGCTCGCATAATTTATGAATGAAAAGTGGGCTGCATTTCATGAATATTGTTCGTTCATAGAGAGACGAAGCGTCCATTAGCGGGACACACATACACTGTGCTGCGAGATTGCGAAACTGAAGAGCTCGCGCATAAAGTGCTCGAGTTACTCATCGATGGACACTTGGTCGTTTTGCACGTAACGGCGGAGAGAGAAGAACAGCGGCTTGGACCTTTTTATAAAGGTACTCTCGAGTGGAGCAGAGGAATAGTAGAGTTACATATTTACGCGAACATTTTGTTTTTTTTTGGCATCGGAGCTTGCATAATGCTTGTATACCCACGCGCGTAACACACATTCGCTTGGGTAATAAAGCAAAAAAGAAAAGAAAAAATGCTGTAAGCGCTGCATCGAACGAAAGGGGCGGCAACAGTAGCAGCAGCAGTAGCACGGAGCTCGCGCGAGGATTTTATAATGCGCATTTTAATCTTGGCCTCGGACTACTCAGTCATGACGTGACTTCGGAATATCGACCTAGATGTAATAACAGTGTCATTTAAGATCCTTTTTCCTTTCTTTAGGTCATTTCGTTTTAATAAACATTACCCCTCGTGCGAAAAAAGTAGAGAGCTTTTTTCAATCGATTTCAAAAATCGTATGAAATCTAATCACGCCACTTTCGACCGAGGCGAGACTGTACTGCGAAGAATGAAAAATGTACCAAAAACTCGTATGATTCACTTATGAATAAATATCAGAGCTGCCAATATTTAAAATGCCATAAAAGCTTGTTTGTAAATTAAACAAGCCTTGCATGGAGGCTATAACACAAGATCAAAAGATCCTGCGCGTAAGTATAAGCCAACAACAAATTTGAATGCTTTATAAAATTCTCGTAAAAAGCATAAATCTCTTAACAGACGCGTGTGCGGCAGCAGCAACAGCAACAAACTCATCCCACGTCTTTTTACCCGTCGTCTTTCTCGCTCAATCTTTTCCGAGGATCGTAAAAAAGTTCCGATGCTTGCGAGCTTGCAGCACAGATCGTATACACACAAAATATTTCGCGCGGATAACCATGTGGCGGCGGCCCCCCGCGCACATATCGCTCTCTCTCTCTCTCTCTGTATGTATTTCTCTCTATTGCGCGTCTCCACGTCGAGAAGATGCAGAAGAGATTTATTTATAAATTCCACAGTGCGTCAATTGATGCGCGCATCGCTGTGGTCTAGTGTCGAGGAGAACGAGGAAAGTACGAGGAATCTCGATCCACGCACGATTATTTATTCGATGAGATTCGAGAAAAAATAAAACACTCTCAATTGGCTTTTAAAGTACAGTCAAAGATGAGTAGACGGTATAAATTCCTCGGTAGTCGGTACAAGCTCCAACTTGCACGAGAGGGAAGAAAACAAATTTAAAAAGTTTTGATGAAAACTGCTATGCAATGCCCATACCATCTTATACATGGGTACAAAATTTGTAAAGCACGACGAAAAAAGTCGCGGCGCGCCTCTCGCGCCTCTCGCTCGAATTCTATTTCGGTACCTTTATTCTCGAGGTAAGCACACGGCGCCGCGCCGCGCAAGCACGCGAGCCATATAGGCTATAATAGTCGACGCGGCGGCTGTACGACGCGTTCGATGTGCAAGTTGTACCGCGTTTTATGGAAAAAGAGCGTTGGCCTCACACGCAGTTAAAATTGCCCCCGGCGTTGGGTGCGAGCGGGAGAGAAAAAGCTCGGCGGAGGAAAAAGGTGCGCACGAATCGACACGCAAAATAATTGAATCGCTTCTCTATGGGTGCGTCCACAGTAGCCATGTTAGCCGGGATATCCTGGCACAGCTAGAGCTACGATACAAATAAAACCAAGTAATACGGTTATTGCAAACTGCTTATTTAAATTACTTTTTTTAATTTTACCCGGCTCGAAAATGTGCATAGTGCCCGGTGTTCTCCTACTCGCACTCATTTACTATATTGTTTTATAGAACGCATTCCAGTTTAGTGATAACCTGGGCTTTTAACTGATTCGCACCTCGGGTACGAACCGATTAAAATAGGTTTTAATCCTGAGCCTTGGTGTACAACCAGGTTTTTAACTAGATTTAATCTTACATTTAATCTATTTTTACCACCATCGGTTACTCACCAGCT